CTTTGAAATTTCAGTAGCGGATGCGCTGTTTTTACGACATGCACTTGTCAGCATCACACCCCAACCCTACCTGTTTTCCGAGCTTACTGCTGGATAGTAAACTAACTGAGGTGTAGGAGTGCATTGAGTGGAGATCGAACCTGGGTCTGCTGCATGAGTGACACGCCTTTTTTACCACTGAACCACTAACGCACTAGATCACTATATTTTTCAGATTTATTTCTGGCTTTCGCTGTAATCAACTCTTTATTATTGAACTTCTTTGTATTCTTGCATAGATTTTCTTTGTGAGGAATCATATGCACTATGTGTCGACTAAAAGTCTTATTCTTTATTCCTTTACATTCTGGGTAGAGTATACACTCTTCAAGCTTGAAAGTTTCTTTAGCAATAATGTTACTTTTATGGGGTAGGTAGGATGGCAAGCCCCAAATCTAACCTTCCTTCTTTCCCGGGCTTATTTGTCGACTAGTAAACTATGTGGTGTAGAAAACTGCATCGACCGGAAATCGAACCCAGACCACGGATATGATTGGCGAACATCTTAGCATTGAACCACCGTCGACTTAGGTTAACTTCACTAGATAAGAATAAAACTTGTGCCCTGTGGTAGAGTATAATTCCATTATGGGTAAAATTTGTTTTGATAAAGTCTTACAGTGTTATACAGTAATGTTTACAGTAAACATTACTGTATAACACTGTGAGACTTTATCAAAACAAATTTTACCCATAATGGAATTAACTTCACTAAATTCACACATAATATTTACATTTTTGTCTTTTGTGATTTCTATTTTGACTTTAATTAGAGTAACTGCAGCGTTCGTTATAATATTGATTAGGTCTACTTTTGATGCATTTAATATCTCATAACCTGACACTAAATGTCTCTCTTCAGTTCTGCTAATGAATTTTACAACTGGTTAATTCTCCAAGTGTATTTCTTCCACTCCTGTTTGATAATTACGTAGTATCAAATTTCTACTTAGACGTTTTTCTATTTAGCTCCAGTAAAGACTCGCTTCAGCGGTAGAATACCTATCACCCAAGCATGCGGTCTGGGCTTCTATTTCCGGTCGACGTACTCCTAAAGTTGACTAAGTCTATAAGGAGAGAAAGCTGGGCATGAAACTAGCAACCCCATCGCGTAAAAATAAAGTCACTGCTTCCTAACTGGAATGTAAAAGAATAAAACAATGAGAGAAAGCTGATGGTAGAAAAGAATAAATGACAGAATGAAAACTAATCAACTTTCTCTCTCTTCATGAATTATTATAAAAGTTTTTGTGTTTCCCAGTGAATGAAAAACAAAACGATATTGTTGTTTTTACTGACGTTTCGCTATTTAATGCTAATAGCTTTATCAAAAGTATTACTAAACCAGAATTTACAAAATCTCAGCTTATATATAACAACTTAATCATCGTTTCTCAGCATAGGGTCATTTTTCCGTTGTTACATTGGCCAATTGGTAAAGATAACAAGACCAGGTGTACATTGTTGGATTTGATAAGAATATAAAATTACAAAAACAGCATGTGTTTACATAATGAAATTGCTTATCACATTCGTGTTGATTTTGTCATTTCATGGGTGAGGGGAGAGGGATGTTGGAACCATGTCAGATTCTGTTTTAGTCCATCATTCCTGTTCATCAGAAAATTTGGATTCCAGGATTTTCATCATGAGCTGGATTCCACTTGATATGACGTGCCTCTGATATTAGAGGTTCTTTGTGATTTCTGAAATTTTCTGGACGATGATTTCAATATTGTCAAAATCAGTTTTGTGGCCTGATTCTTTAGCGTAGCGTGTAGATGACCTATGGCTGATGATTTTTCAAGCTTTTCTAGTTCAGCTGGATTTATTTCTCGGTGGTCGAACAGATGCTCTACGGTGTTCATTTCTTCTCATTTCGATTTCTCTCCAGTGATGTTTGTCCGTTGTATGTCGCATCACATTCCAGGCATTTTAGTTTGCACACATTAAATAGAGAATTCCTAGGGATTTGATCTTTTATATGGACAAGGTTGCTTCACAGTGTGTTTGACCTTATTGAGTACTCTTTTGATATCGTCGGAAGTCTCCGCTCTATATGAAATGACAACTATTGAGGTCCATTTTTTCGGAATACGTTTTCAACTATATTTAATGTCGGTGTTGATTTTATTGTTGAAGTTCTTTGGGCAGTGATTTTTCTCTTTCTTATAATAATAAATCTCCACCTCTCTTAGCGACTGTGAGTGGACTAAACGCCACTGTTGAATACAACAGTACCATCTGTTCAGATGTTGATCTAGCTTATATTAAGCTGTCATATATTAGCATTTTAGTGATAATTGTGCTTTAATTTTCATGCATAAACTAGAGACAAATATATATGTGTGTGTATATACCCTAGTTAGTACCTTTAAAAATTTCACTATGCAAATAAATAATACAGACTTTGGATTACTTTATAATGATTTTTGTTCACTTCGGATTTGTTCTCATTACCTTTTATGTTTGTGTGTATGTGTGTGCGTGTCAGTCTGTAGGCATACTACATTACAAAGTGTTCTTACATAACTAACTGACTAACTAAGTTGAGAAGTACTTTATGCTAATGACCTAATTTTGCAAATTTTTTTTTTGTGTTTTAGACATTTTCACTTCCTTTGGTCACATTCAGTTAAACAGTGTGAAACACTGAGTTTTTTCTTCATTATTGTTATACATACAAGTCCCCAAATATGCTTTACACTTTTACTTTATTGTGCATATTTATTTATGTTAACTTCAACCAGTGAAGATGGCGTGTATATTTCTCGGATTACTTAATTCCCCGGTTGTGTCACTGAAAACACTTGAAATGAATTCCCATGTGAATTATTTAGCATTTATTAAATAAAGAAGTCAACATAATTATCATATTTATTTAATCAATCTAGGTTTGATTATGATTAGCATAAAACAACTGTTGTGATTTAATGCATTGTGTTGTTGTACTCAAAGGCAGTTAAAATGTGAAGTGTTTTTTTTATGATTCCTTAGTTCCTTGCTAAAACTACAGGTGAGCACCAACCAGTTGGCAGAAGAGACACAGTGAAGATAAAACTTCATACATACAGAAGATCGAGATGATGAAGACACTTATTGACCACAACCACCACCAACAACAACAGCAACAAACATCAATCACCATCAACTGGATAGATCTAAAGCGAGTCAACTTCTTTACTTATCAAGGTACTGTCGTCCCAACTATAGGCGGTACGGATGACAATGTACAAGGGAGGCTTGCAAAATCCAGAAAAACTGTCACTACTCTGAAATCAATTTAGAAATCTTTCGTACTCAGCATAAAGAACAAGATCCGGATCATCAACACTAATGTCAGTTTAGTGCTTCTATATACGGTTCAGAGAATGAAAGCACTGGCATCATCAAAAGTATCTCCAACAGGTGTCTTCGCCTGATACTGAAGATCCTATGGCTGGCCAGAAAAGATTAGCACAAAATAACTCCAGGGAAGGACCCAACCAAGAACCTATTGCCCAACAAATATGCCGAAGAGAGCGGAAACTGATCGAACACTCCCTGAGGAGACCGTCGAGTGGAACTAAGTGGGAAATGACGGCTTTGAACGTGGGTTCGAGTGCAACATAGAGGAGATAAAAGTGTACGGGCAATTGTGGAGTCAGCTGAAAAAGACTGCAGAGAACAGGATGAAACAGGGATGTATTTCAGAAGCCGTATGTTCCACTCAAAGCCGAAGGGGATAATATTAATAATGATAACTGCCAACTGCACTAAAATGAAAAAATGCTTGTTAAGTACGGTTTTATTTTCTATTAAAAATTAAAAAATTCTCTTGCTTCTTGTAATGGATGTTCACATGCAATGATAAGTTTTAATTTGGGCAGTATAAGAACCATTATTAGAATTTCTTCATTCACTTGTTTAAAAATAGCAGTCATACATATAATGGGTTTGTTGCCTAGGTATTCGTTTTTGTATCCATAACAATGTTTCATTAGATCACCTTTGTGTTGCATGTATTGGTGGTGGTGATGGCATTGGTAAATATGTATCCTGTCGTTAATCTTCCCTTCCATTTGTTTATATTGGAATTGAAAAAAAGTTGTTCCAATCAGTATTGCGTTACTTATCCCACGCATTCTCATGTTTATACTTACTTAGAAACTGAATTTCTAATAGTTCAGCTTGTACTGAAGAGCAAGGTATATGTGGCATTTGACTTTTAAATAAATCGCTTCTATACATTTAATAGGACTACTCAATATTTACCTATAGGAGAAGTGATTGTGATTGAAGACAGAATTCTATTGTGCAACCGGGTTGTACACACAATCCTTTATTCAGTAGTCTATATCGAGTATTCTCAACCGCTTGGCTGGTTATGCACTGGAACAACAATCCACCTGCATTATAAATGCCATTGTAATAGCAGAACACGGTAGTATTTGGTAGCAAATTGATGTACTGATACGGCAAAATACAGATACCTTACATTGAACCCTCCATTCGCACATGTTCTCTGTATTTCGCTTGTTTTGTCTTGCTTTCATATTTTCTATTTTATTTCACAAGGATCATTCATTTCTTCTTTTGTCAGTAACAACACCCTCCACACCATTCATAGATTATTAAGGTTTCTGCCAGATTTGTTCAGGTACACACACTCTCTCCTGTGTATATTCATACCAGTGGGTGTTATTTTCTCAGTAGTATGAAATAACTTCACATAGGAGAAAAAGGAGCACCATATGGTCTTCGAATATTATCAATTGACTGATATCATCCATGACAGAAATAACATTCATGTCCTAACCTTTGATGTTTCTCATCAATTATTGACTTCACAGCATCTGTGTTAACCTGTCATATTTTCACAACTGTTATGTTGTTGTTTTTTTCTTATGCACATCAGTACTGTTATTATTTCATAGAAACAATGTTTTGTTGTTTTCTTCACCCCCCTTCGTATTGTGTAGGAAGAAATTTATGTTATTTCTCGACGAGTTGGATTCACAGATGATGTTGAAGACAATGAAGAGAAATCGAATCAGAAGCTTATTCGGCGTGATACACCACATTATACAAAACGAGCTAGAATCCAGTCAAAAACTGCTGATGGAGGTAATTTTATAATAAGCATTTCTCAATTATTAATTATTTCTGTATTTGTAGATTACAATTTTATTCTTCTGGTTTTCCATCATTTCATTTTCTTCGACTGCCTACCGTATTCTTTGTTGTTTCAAAAGATACTCTAAGGTTACAGCTTACTCTTGTTTACTTCATGATGGAATGAGGGAACCGGAGTTGTACATCTTTTCATGTTGTTAGATGGGACTTAGGACTCTGCAAGAACTGGCGAGGAATCATGCTCCTGTCGACGCCAAGTAAAATCCTGAGTCGCATCATTCTGGAGAGAATAAAGGACGCACTGGATACAGAACTCCGACCAAAACAAGCTAGATTCAGGAAAGGCAAATCATGTTCTGACCAAATTGCAACTCTACGTATCATCATCGAACAAAGCATGGAATGACAATCAAACCAACAACAACAGCAACATCCAGCGCCAATCATCATCAACGGGGGGATTTAAAAGAGGTTACTTCATTCACTTATCTAGGAGGAACGGACGAGGATGTCAAATCGAGAATCGGAAAGGCGAGAAACACATTCATCAACCTGAAACCAATCTGGAAATCTTCGTCACTCAGCCTGAATCAACAACAAAATTCGGATTTTCAATACAAACGACGTCAAGTCAGTTCTTCTATACGGATCAGAAACTTGGCGGGTCATAAAGAATATTTCCAACAGGTTGTAGACCTTTACCAACAACTGTCTTCGCTCTATACTGAAGATGAGATGGCCGGAAAGAATCACCAACAAGAAACTATGGGAACAAACAAAACAAGAACCAATCGCCCAACAAATATGCAGGAGAAAGTGGAGTTGGATTGGACACTCGCTGAGGAGGTCGCTGGGTGACATAGCGCGTCAGGCCATCGCTCGAGTGGAACCCGAAAGGGAAGCGGCGAGTGGGACGTCCAAGTGTGACATGGAGGAGATCGTGTGAAGAGGAGTTGAAACAGTATGGATTAACATGGATGCATGTGAAAAGTAGAGCAGAAGACAGAAGCAAGTGGAGACGTGTAGTTGAAGCCCTATGTTCCACTAGGAACCCAAGGCAACCATAATAATATAATAATGTAGATGGTTGAAGCTAGTCGGCAAGAAGCCCTAGACCTAGGTTTCGTGCTTGTTGGCACTCATCAGCAAGGCGTATCTGCAACCTTCAAGGAACTCATGTCCCCTCCCTTTTCGTTTGGAACTCTTCAGCTACTTGTAATATGCATTCAAAACTGAATAAAAGTATCCATTCATACAGTCATTGTGAAAACAAAGAGTGGTCAGCCCGAAAGTTACAAGTGTAAAGCATGGATACATGTTATATAAGAGATGGATCTCGTGACCTCACGAAAGATATTATCCAGCGTAGGATAAAGGAATGTCTTCCTAATAAATATCAAATAACTATCAAGTGTTGGTTCTCAAGGATTCGATTGGTTATAGGTTAGAACACGAGTTGACATCAGTTAGGGAACCGCTGGAAAATCTGCGGGTACTGGACAGCTGTTTTGTCCCATGTATATCGTGAATTGACAGAAGATGGAATTCATGGACTGGCCATTTTATCGGGTCCCAGTGGCTGTGAATGGTCTACGAACTCACCTTGTAACCGAAAGGTCATGCATTCGAACGCCAGTGGGTGTGCACTGATGAGGACTGTTGAACTAGGACGAAACAGCTGTACACATTACTTCTAGGTTTTCCAATGGTTCTGTAATTGATCTTAACTCGTGATTAAACCTGTAAATACCAAATAGGCAGCACGTGGTTCCTGATTTCCACAACTAGCTGCAGTCAAGTAGATTGTCATTACAATGCCTTTCTGTGTGTATTGATCACTGGCTTTCCGACATTTATGTAGTTATTCTAACATCTTGTTTATTTCATATAAATATTTGAGATTTTCTTTCTGATATTCTTATCAGATTTAGCTTTTATTTTACTGAATTCATGCTTTAGCTAATAATTAGTTTGCAAGCATTTCCTTAAAGCGCTTAAGAGCTTCATGTCTTTGAAAAATATTGGGGAATAATACCTACAACACTCAGGTGCATAAAGCTCTTCTTCCCCTATTACACTTTAAGTTCATGAACTTAAATCGAAGGCATTCTCACTGTTAATGAAGCCCATAGTTGTAAAGTTACATCCATGAAATCTCTGACTGTTTTTTTAACGAATGTATGCAGGAGTTGTGTCCGGTAGAGTTAAACTATGGCGACCCATGAAATGCTAATCCACAAGTGACCTTGAGGCAACCAATCGGAAAAACCAATGTATTTTACATAAAATGACAAGAGAAATACAGCAAATGGTGATTAAACACACTAAACAGGATATGTTTCCATGACATGACTTCAAAGATTTCTTAGTTATAACGACTAGTATAAGCTGTTAAGTTGAACCAGTTTCTATGCATGTATTCACTAAGGTGGCCGTAGATGGGATCTGTTTGTGACCCGTTTAATCGCTCTTATCCTGTCTTTCAAGTGCTCTCCAGAAGCCCTCAATTGAATAAGTATGTGTTCCAGTAAAGGGATCAACAAAATCATCTAAATTCTTCACTCGATAATGGATGAAATATGCAGTCTTTAATATATCCAATAATGGCAGATAAAAAGTATATTTGTCAACGACAGTTTTGATTCAGAAAAGAAGTTTCCAGTCTCAGTGGGAATATCATTACTTACTGGCAATATAATAGGTACATCCAGATAACGAGTCAAAAATAGAACATCTTAGGACATCAAGATCAAATTACATCAATTTAATTAATCTCCAGAAATTATCGAAGCGTTGGCGGGAGTTGACGGGTTAACAGAGGCACCGAGCATTACGGTTCAAACATAAATCAGTCAACTGGAAATACAACTTAACTTACATTAAATGACCTTTATCAGACAAAAAATGTGATAAGTTTATGTTACAGATATTTACGTCCACTATTGTCAAAACCAATAGAATTTAATTGGTGGATGGTGACTAGCAGAATTCCAGGATGTGGATTTCGTCCTACATGGGACGCGTCACTGGATGCACCTGCATTCCCCAGTGAGTGATGATGTTCCCACCAATGAGGCTCGAACCCAGTGCCCATAGTTTCAAACACCAAAACGTTATCCACCAGACCACTTGGGCCACGAGAGCCACCTCTTGTGCAACGGGTCATATTAATTATTTAATTGAATTTTAGATTTTCCCGTCGATTGATTGGACCGAAGTGCTCGGTCCACCAATTAAATTCTAATTACATGCCCAGACATCGCCAAAGCATCTGCACAAGAAGCCGACATGTCAACCTGAAACTGAGCACTTCGGTCCAATCAATCGACGGGAAAATCTAAAATTCAATTAAAAAACCAATAGAAGATAGAAATCTAATCAATACTTTACTGAAATCTCATTTGTTTTCCTGATATATATTACGTCAGGAATCTTGACTTCATAAAATGTTATTGCAAGTGATTATATGTGTATATGCTCATGAATATTTTTATATTTATGCCTTCTTTCATCCCATGATTTTCGTTTTTCTAAAGTGGATAGTGAAGAAGCAGTTTTGAAAATCTTGGAAAAGTATCGAGCATCTGTTTCACCGAATCCTGATTCAAATTCAACTGATGTAAGTATTCTGTTTATTATTATTTGTGTTTGACTCTGTTGTCCAGAGGATTTTCCACTTGAATTTGTTTTTTTTCCTATATATCGCCAATGATATAAACTTCTGACTAAGTGTTGGTACATTGCTGATAGGCACTTAATTTGATTTAAATGTTTTTTATTATTGTGTTAATTTGAGGTATGCATTAAAGTGAGTTTTTTCGCAAGTGTTGGTTTTTGTTGTAAGGATTTTGTTTGATTGGTTGGAGGATTTCGTCATGAGCTGACATCAGTTAGAGAACCATTGCAAAACCACCCAGGAGTAGTAGACAGCTGTCTCGTCCACCCGGTTTCGGACTCTTCAGCAGTACGCACCCACCGCCAGGATTCAAACCCCAGGACCTTCTGGTTATAAAGTCAGCGAGCTCGTAGACCACTAAGCCACTGGGACCCAATCCAATGGCCACTCTATGAATTCTAACTTCTTCCAATTCATGACATAGTGCAACCACTTCGCAATATCTTCTTCGATGAGTTACTGTCTCACCTTCAACCTGCTGCACCCTACTGGTAGCGGCTTCCCACTAGAATCCCAGGTAACTGTCTGAATAGGGCTAGTAGCTAGTGAGCATCAGGTCAATTTTTTATACTATAAAACTCTTCCAATGAAAACTAATAAAATACGGTGATGAGGATTTGCCCCACCAATAAACAGACTTAGAAATATTCAGTTAGTGATATTGAATGTATCAGGCAACTGTAGTATTCCTACCTTTTCTCAGTTTGTTTACTACTTCGTTCGATGACTAATTCAATGAACAGGTAAAATAGCCTAGGTCAGTTTAATTTTTTTCATATTTTGTGCGTCGGTGGCACAGTGGTTAGGACTCTCGCCGACCATGCACATGGTCCGGGGTTCGATCCCCTGCCGACGCACACACGATATCTATGGTCGGCCTGCAAAATTTGGGCTACCGATATCCATGCTGAAAATTCCACACTTTTACTGAAAATACGGTGTGGAATCAAGCTGTAATCAAAAATATAAATAAATAAATAAAATAAAAATTCGGTGTTAGCGTGACGTTATTTTCGAATTTGTATGTATAGCACTGTTTTGGATAACGGCATAAGATATGTTGCTAGGCTATTTACAAACACATTGGATTAATTTTACCGAATTGTATGTCAGTGGTTCTTGAGTAGAAATCATGCCTGTCACATACGTGGTACGAAGTTCGATTCTCGACCAACGTACTCCTAAATCTCACTTGGCGTGTAGGAAGTTGCGGGAAAGAGGGGAGATAGGGCGTGACACGCCTGAAATTTCGAAGCCTAATAAAGGTTGAAACCGTACGTTACACTTGGAAAGCAAAAGGAATGAGGATTTATATTTTTAGCGAATTACCAGTTCACTCATAATTTCTGTGTGCGCTTGAAACCACCTAACAATATGTTCTATATCGCCAACTCACAGTTGCGGTACAAAAAACAAGACTTCTTTCAAATCGTGGAAAATATCCATCAGGACATTAGACAGAGAGAAAAAACAAGAAGTTCAGCTTAGATATCTTTTCAGCGATTTCATCCTCAATTGCACTTATAAACATAAGATTACGTAGGTACAATTATTATTTAATTCCACATAATTACGAAGGAGATTAAAGGTGATGATAATTTTCAACTTGAAAGTTTGAGGGTGTTAATATAGATTAAAAGGGACTTAGAAACAAAACTAGACAGGATTAGAAAATAGTTTTTAACGAATACACGTGTGAATGGAATGAGTATGGAAACCAATTGAAATAATAGTTTTATTTATAACTGAAAACGGGAAAAATATCAAAAGAATGAAAAAACAAAAACGAAAACTATCGAGTCAAACCGAACTAGATCTATGGTATATGTAGAGGTCAGACTAGATTCTTTTGAACACATAGCTCCGGTTTCTTGATACTTGTGGCAAAAGCTTCTTAGGTATAATAAAAAAAGCCGGAAACACACTGCCTTTGGTAGATTTTTGTTTACTTCGTAAATGACTGTGACTTATGAGTCAGTTGAAATGCTTTGGCAGGTGCTGACGAGGTGTTCAGTTACAGCACTTCTGATTGAACCAGTACCTCCTCTTTTCAATCATGCCGGGTAGTGTTCTCTAACGTATTTGGATAGAACCCGCATAGACTTTTTGGCTGTTTACAGTACTGAACCAGTGGCTTAGTGGTCTACGAGCTCGCTGACTTTGTAATCAGAAGGACCTGGGTTCGAACACTGGTGGTGGGTGCGTGCTGCTGAAGAGTCCCAAACCGGATGGACGATACAGCTGTCCAGTACTCCTAGGTGGTTTTGCAATGGTTCTTTACTGTATCACTCACCCTCCTCTTGGTTCACTAATTATTCCACATCTTTAGATAATTATGTGAATATAATTCAACTGGTAAAATAAGCAAATCATGTAATGAGCTGAGCAGTAATCATCTGTTGAATTGCTGTACTCCTTCACTTTGACTCACACACACTCATCCTTGTCTCTCCCTTTCTCTCTCTCACTCAATTTTGCCACCTTATAATATAATTGAAAGAAAAGGAACTTTGCGTATACATACGCAATTATCGAAGCTTGTTTTTTTTATTTCTATCGGCCATAAATCTTTGAGGTTATCGCAATTGTTTAACGCAACTAGTTTATAAATTATCATCTCATCTGTCAATACCATCATTGTCTATTACTTCACTAGAAATAAATATACTTGCACTTCTTCCCCTCCAATCTATCATCGTATTAATTTACGGGGTAAAATGATTCTTTTTCGCGTTAATTATTGTCAATGTGTGCTGTTGCGTTTGTACTCTTCAAAAGGTTTTAGACCATGCTATCCCAATTGGATGTCTTTTTCTCGCAGTTATCGTGTCATTGTCACTGTAAATCATGTTTTTTTTACTAATAAATAAAGAAGCTGTTTGAAATATGGTCATCTGGAACTATAACGTATCATCATTTACTGATCAGGGTTATATGCATGATTCCATGACTCTGATTGGTTGTTATGAGTCGTTAGGCAACCGTATTGCTTGTTTGAGGCCAAGCTTATCAACGGTGTTCGTGATTTGCCCTCTTTGTTGAGAGACGCTAAGAGAGGCAAGTAAGTAAGTTCATACCACCTAAATTCTGACTAGATACTTGAGCGAACTTGTAGTAAGTTAGATTATATCCGCAAATCAGTTCGCGTGATGAGGATATCAAAGCAAGGATCGGGAAAGCAAGACAAGCTTTCACTACTCTCAAGCCTGTGTGGAGATCAACAGCACTCAACATGAAAGACAAGATCCGGATTTTCAGCTCCGATGTGATGTCAGTGCTACTTACTATATGGATCAGAGAGTTGATATGTCAAGAAGAGCACTTCAAACAAACTACAGACCTTCATCAACAGCTGTCTTCGCCCAACACTACTCAAGATCAGATGGCCAGAAAAGATCAGCAATAGGGACCTGTGGGAGTAAACCAACCGACTGTGAAACAAATAGGCAGGAAGAAATGGAGATGGATTGGCCACTATGAGGAAACCATCAAGTGACATCACCAGACAATCCCTTGAGTGGAACCCGAAAGGGAAGTGTTGAGTTGGTCTTCAGCGCAAGGGTGACTTGGAGGAGGTCATGTGAAGAGGAGATGAAAGCATGCGGGCAGACTTGGAGCCAGGTGAAAAACTCTAGCAGAGAACGGGACGCAATGGAGACGCACGGCTGAAGCCCTATGTTCCTCTAGGAATTCAAGGAAATAATAATAATCAGTTCGCGACTTACAGTTTACAGAGTTCGACGAGGTGAAATTTCACCACAGTTTCCTTTGGAAACTGAATTTATTTATATCACAATACGTGATCTGATTGGTAACATAAATGGCGATCGAGAAAGCCAGCATAGATGCATTTTGTCATATACTACTAGTTGACCGACATGAGTAGTTGGGTACCAGTCATATTAACTAGTTGTAGTGCCAGTTGAATAATGTCGGTTTCTAAACGGAACTGGTGAAATTTCATCTCGAACAGTGTTAATTGCGAATTTGATGTATGTGTAATTATATGAGTTGACACAGTCTTATCTGACCCATTGGTTTCAGGTTTCTTTTTTCCTTCACGTTCCCCAGTGGAACATAGGGCTTCAAGCTAGTGGCTTGAAGTTTCTGTAGCAGTGTTTATTTTACAGGATGGGGTTGCTAGCCTCATGCCCAACCTCTCCTCTTCACCAGCATTATTTCTGGCTCAGAGAGGTAAAGGAGTGCGTCGGCCGGGGATCGAATCCCGGACCATGTGCATGGTCGGCGAGCGTCCTAACCGCTATACCACCGACGCTATTGGTTTCAGGTAGGTTTTTCAAATGAAACCTTGAAGCAAAAAAAAAACTAATTTGTCTCCACGTCTACTAATTAACTGGTCAGAATTCATTTATCCAGAGCAGATCTGCAAATATCAGGCTATAAGGCAGTCTAATTAATTGTTTAAGGGCTGATGACACTACCTACTACTCACCTAGATTGAATTAACTGGGATGGGAATTGGACTCGGAACTCAATCTCTGGTTGTCAAGCCACCGCTTTAGTCCCATAAACAGATGCCTAAAATCACAACTACAGTGAATGTGCTCAGATCTTAGCCTTGCCAATATGAATGAGGTTTGAATGAAATCAAAATCAACTTTCCAGACAGATTAGTTAAAGTAATGGTTTGATATTGGCGATAATTTAATTAATCTTAACGGTTTGGTAGTGCCTTGGTCGTGCAAATTATTGACTACTGTTTCTTTTACCATATCATTTGAATATCTAATTCTTGTAGGTCGATTAGTGTGGATTAACTAGCTAGGTCTGCAGGATTTGTTTTACGAAACTATTTAAAATATGTGTTACCTGGGAGAATGTGTGGTTCATTTGATTTAGTCGTTAGTTTTCAACCAGGTCTCAATTCTACAACATTGATTTCTGTCTAGAAGTATGAAGAGTGCCATTAATAATGTCAGTAAAAAGTTTGGGCGTTGTGGAATAGATCAAATAAATTAATAATTATATTTCAATAGTTTACACACAATGATAAATTGTGTTTTTTTTTTGTTTTTGATAGTTTTTTAAGCAAAATTACTGACCGTGATTACACCTACTGAAACAAACAAAAAACTTATTATTGTGTGTAAATTATCGAAATATAATATTATAATTTATCAGTACAATTATTCTTTGCATGTTACATCTTTCTTAGAGTTTATTACATTAAAAAAAATCGGTATTAGATAGGTGTATTGGAAAGAAAATATTTATTTGTTTTCACTAAATAGCAGGAAAACCCCGCCCAGTTTACTAGCTCGCTAGTTTTCTGGCCAGTCCCAAGCCCGGGTAAAGAGGGAGGGTTGGGCGTGGAGCTAGCGACCCTACCCGACAAAACTAATCAAACTGCTACAGAGACTTCAATCCACAATAAAAATATTAAAAATATATAAGAAACAAACTTGTTCTTCGCTGTAATCGCAGAGGCGAAATGACACAACGGACTGGTGAAAGCCTTCGGGATGCCAGTCAGCCAACCGATGTCTTCTCTCGATGAAAGCGAAAATAAGAATCGCGACGTGGAATGTACGAAGCCGGGTGGGAAAACTGTCCAGGTAGCCAAAGAAATGAAAAGATATGGTATAGAAGTGCTGGGAGTCTGCGAGAGCAGATAGAATGGGTGTGGACTGTCAAAATTGTCAACTGTAGAGTTAGTAATCTACTTCGATCTGGACACCCAGATGAAAACCACGAGCACACTGAGACAGTGATTGGCTATCATGATGTCACCAGTGGCAGCCAAAGCCCTAATGCTGTGGGAACCAATAATAATAAAATAGTAGGAGATTAAAACAGACTGTCCAGATGAGGCTAGCTAATAAAACATAGAAAGCACGTACGTTGATACTTTTCAAAGAACTATATTTATTGCGTTAAAGATAGCGATACCATATGGTAATAGTCGGGGATTCAAAAACATTAGCCAACCACTGGTTAAAAATCAGGCACATAATTTTAAAAAGCCACTCTCTCCCCTATTATAGTTCCATTGTAAAATAATTGTTTAACTTCATTATTTTTTTCTAAGCTGTGCTTTTTCTTATAATAAAAAGATTTATCACTTCAAATTTCTACTTAGGCTGACAAAACAGGAAAACGGTTTGCATCGCCATATAGTAGTTTATGCGCTTTGGATATTCCTTTACAAACTCGTGAATTAAGTTCCCCGTCATCTTTACACCGGCAACCTGCTCCTCTTATGCAAGAACAAGTTGAAGTGCATATTCATCGTCAATCTGGTGCTGGTTTAGGCTTGAGTGTTGCTGGTGGAGTTGGATCAATACCATTCCGTGGTTCAGATTATGGAATATTTGTTAGCCGACTAAATCCCACAGGACTGGCTGCTGCTTCTGGACTTAAACTCGGAGACAAATTGTTAGAGGTTAGTTAGTTAGTTAGTTAGTCTTGTTTTGAATATAAAGCCTTTTATTTAGATGAGCAGCCTAACTGTGTATAATTCTTTTTACTTGGTTTTGGAATTGTCTAATTTTTTTTATGTAAATAGGTTAATGGTGTTAATCTTGTCAATGTTGAACATCATGTGGCTGTCGCTGCTTTGCGTGCCAATACCAACTACTTCCGTGTAATTGTTGCTCGTGATATCAATCCGTCTAATAAATCAGATAGTGTTAAACTAGTTTCTTCCCCTTTGTCCATTTCAACAACTACAACAACAACAACAACAACTGGCGGTGTCGCTTTGTCTACTAATTCTCCGGTAAGTTATTGGCTTTGTTTTTTTTTAAATAATTTTTTCCATTGTTCTCATTTACTCTTTGCCAAACATTAGAATCATTAAGCAATACACATCATATTTACTGTTTTACTGTTCATGATGAAAAAAGTTAGACTGATAATACTGTTGTCTTATCTCTACCAATTCGCAACTCAACAGTTTAAATATTCTGCTTAGTTATGTAATTGGAGATTTTCTTCCTTGACTTTTTTCACTCATTGGATTCCGGATTCGAATCCTTCTTTACTGACTTGAACCAGAGCAACTAGGCATTTTCATTTAGTCACCGTCTAGCACGTGAAAGAATTTGTCTGTGGTAAAAGTTCGACGACAACTATATAAACAGTTCACCCATTTACTTAATTCAGCTCACAGGGAATATTTGCTATCTGAGTTATATTCACTCTATATTCTTCATTCTCCAATTCGCTAAGCGGTTAAATAAAGCTGATGGCTGAATGTATCACATCATATTTTACCTTCTCCTTTAAATGGGTTGTTATTCTTTATTATTATTTGATATTTTTAAATTTCTTAATGAACTGTATTCATTCATGCATTGAATAATCTTATTCGTCTTATTTATCTCAAGTATGGGTGTAAAATCACTTTGAAGATAAGTTTCGTTTACGAAAAGAAATCATTTGAATGGAAAAATCGATTGTGATTAAGTTAGAGAATTTAATGTCTTCTTTACCAGTAATATACTAAAGTCTATAAGTTTACTCTTAGCCTTAATGTCAATTTCGTAGTTAGAGAGAAATCTAACTCCATTTCTAGTTCAATCACAAACAGAATTCAGTTAGAGAACCACTGGAAAACTGTTTCATCCTAGCTTGCGACTCTTCGCCACAGTACGCACCTATGATTCCACTGAGCAACCCAAGACCTGAAGGTCACGAAGTGAGATTGCTGACCGTTCAACCACTGCGGTAGAATTCAATGGCCTGTGAATTCTATCTTTTGTCAATTCTTGATTTTTAACGCGACCAAAACCTCCGACATTGGGTGGTGGTTGGCCATTGCATTCCATTGAAGTGGTTGAGAATGGTCAACGATCTCGCTTCTTAACCTGAAGACTTTGGGTTCGATTTCCAGTGAGGTTGTGGATGTGCACTGATGAAGAGTCTTAAAATAGGACGAAACAGTTGTCCAGTACTCCATGGTTTTTAATTATTTTTGTAAATGAAGTGAGTTTGTAATCAAACTTGGAATTACTCAAATCCCTGCAAGTCAATACTTAAAATTCTAATGTAAGTTGAACAAAATTTGAAAATAATATTGGTTCAGTGACACCGTCTCTCGAGAATTATTTTTACATCTCGAGGTATAATTAAATATCTTCCAATCGATTTCAACTAACTAGACACATTATAGCATTTGAGACGCACAATGAAAATGAATCATCCACATATGTTTACAATTTAAATTGAAGTAATAAATGTTTTCTTTTGTTCGCCGATAAACAAATGGATAAGTTGCATAGCTTTGTATCATTGAGTTATAAACAAAAAATCAATTTTTGATCACATTTCGTAGTGTTTATTGTAAAATAAGTTGGACCATTTGTTAGAACTTGAATTTGAATTTCTCCTTGATTGATATTATTATTATTGTTTCCTTTAATTCCTAGAGGAACATAGGGCTTCAGCCGCGCGTCTCCACTGCGTTCTGTTCTCTGCTAGAGTTTTTCACCTGGCTCCAAGTCTGCCCACATGCTTTCATGTCCTCTCCACATGACCTCCTCCAAGTCACCCTCGCACTGACGACCAACTCGCCGCTTCCCTTTCGGGTCCCACTCGAGGGCTTGTCTAGTGATGTCACTTGATGGCTTCCTTAGAGTATGGCTAAACCATCTCCAATTCTTCCTGGTTGGTTTACTCCCACATGTCCCTATCGCTGATCTTTTCTGGCTGGTCATCTGATCTTGAGTATTGAGTGAAGACAGCTGTTAATGAAGGTCTGTAGTTTGTTTGAGATGCTGTTTATGACGCGCAGTGCAAGTCTCTCATCCGTATAGCAGCACTGACTGACTTCACATTGGAGTTGAAAATCCGGATCTCATTTTTGATGCTGAGTGCTGTTGACCTCCACACAGACTTGAGAGTAATGAAAGCTTGTCTAGCTTTTCCGATCCTTGTTCTGATATCCTCATCAGTTCCGCCTGTAGTTGAAAGGATGCTTCCCAAGTAGGTAAAGGAGGCTTTTTCTTTCAGATTTCTCCCATTTATGCTGGCTGACTTGTCTGTTGTTGCTGTTACTGTTGCCCAGGAATCTTCATCACCTCTGTTTTCTCTATGTTCACCTGAAGTCCTATCTTTGATGCTTCTTCTGCCAACTTGTTGCTTTTCACTTGCATATCTTCCAGTTTGCGGCGAAGTCGAGATCCTTCAAGCTTTTTGTGTGTGTCCATTTTATGCCTGTTTCCTCATTGCCCGCTGTTTGTCGCATTATCCAATCTGCTGCAATCAGGAAAATCATTGGCGATAGTAGGCAGCCAGCTCGTCTTACTCCTGTCCTCACTTTGAAGGATTCCGTAAGTTTCCCGTCGTGGATTACTTGGTATGCAGCATTGTCGTACAGCTGTTGGATGAGATGTATAATTGTTTGCGGCACCCCGTAGTAGCGAAGTAGTTGCCAAAGCACCTCTCGATCGACGCTGTCGGAGGCCTTTTCATAGTCGATGAAGTTAAGTGGGGTAAAGAGGTGACTGCCATTCCAAGCTCTGCTCAGTGATGATCCGTAGTGTTGCGATTTTATCAATGGATGACGTGTTCCTCCTGAATCCAGCCTGTTCCGGTCGAAGGTTTTCATCCAGGGCGGCGTGTTTAGTTCTCTCCAGGATGATGTGGACAAAAGCATAATGCCACGCCAGTTCTTGCATTGACCTATGTCCCCTTTCTTTGGCAGTTTGAATAAGAAGCCTTTCTTCCAATCCGCAGGTACTTCGCTCTCTTTCCACGCCTTCTCCAGTAGTGGTGTCATCAGGTCCGCTAATGTCTCTGGGTCCATTTTAATGCTTCTGCTGGGAATACGTCTGGTCCTGCTGCTTTTCCAGTTTTTCGTAAATTGATATTACTGAACCGAAATGTTTGCTCTGTGTAGACATGTTGATGCCTAGCACGCCTACGTAGTCTTTAACGGTTCCCTCAATGGATTAAAACAATATTACTTCGTTGGCGATGGCTAGCAACGAAGTCTCGGACTTGCTGGAGTAATGTCCCAGTGAGACTGTGACATAGTTCTCATCATTTTGAACTTTAAAATATCGTCTACTAGTCAGTCTACCGAGTCACAAGAGCACAATTCTTGTTTGTATCATTAGTACACGAGGTCTCTAACTTCTGGTGTCTTCTAAATTATTACTGTCCACTAACCAAGTGGTTAAATGAAATAATAGGCACCATGGTGGGGGGGGGGGCAGGGGTATTCGGTAATACGTAGTATTCCCATTCTTTTGTATATTGCATATCATAATATGCGTTGGAGGATAAATATTGGCATAATGTTTCCAACGCTGAAATGATACTTTGCTTTTTCGCATAAAAAGAGAATTAGGCGGAAATCTTCATCATCATCATTATCGTTCTTATTAAATTCCATTCAGGATCATTTTTATTTTATTGTCTCTCTTTCCTTTCCCTTCCCACCCAACCCCACACCTAATTCTCGGTTTCTTTCTCATTGTTTTTTTTTCCATATCTGTCCTTCTGCTTACATCCGTTTATTTTGTTAATAAAACTATAATTATGGTATATTAAAAAGGAAGAAACACAAAAATTTCTTTTCCTTAAGCAGAATTTCACAAATGAAATTTCCTAATTCATCACATGCTTAATTTAAAATGATAATAATAATGAAGTGCTTCGTGCTTTCATCTAATATTAAATTATTCGAATAATTGAATGGTTTAAGGATTAATATATTCAGGTTAATTTTATTTTAATTGGCATATTCTGAAAATACATGTCACGGTAGCCAATCACAAGACAACTGCTGTGTAGACAGAAGGTACAAGGAAACTTGAAAAACAGAATCATCATAAAATTCTCCATCTGGGAAATGTATTCCTGCTTTCAATGTAGATTTTTTCACGAACTAACTAACTGATTGAAAGTCAGGAATGCACTGGACAACTGTTTCGTCCTGGTTTGGGACTCTTCATCAGCGTATGCACTCACGACCCTACCAGGGATCGTGACGAAATCTGCATTGAAATAAATTCATATTTCCACAATAAAAAGAAAATAATGTCAATATTCCTTGTTTATGTTCTTTTAGTTAAGCGTAACAGAATAAGCTCATCATTTTTCCCATCTTTTAATAAGAGCTAATGCAAACATGCATCAGCGCTCTCGTATATTAGGCTGTCCAAATAACAGCTTTCGTAACGCAACCCAAAATGGGTGAGGAGTAGATCAGGTATGATTCACTTTGTACAAACATCAGTCACATGTTAATCCCCCGTCAGTTGCGTTCAGTGTTGTCACATGCTTAGAAGACCCACAGTTATTGCACTTTCTAATATTAAGATTGCTTTCGATTAATTGAATAGAACTGCCGTTTGTCATTATCTGTTGGAGAATGAGGCTGTTCTAAGTTGTGTATCGATATCTTGAGAACATTTTAGACGGTGCAGGTGGATAGGACAATCTTTTTCTATTGTTTTATCCAACCTGGAGATTATAGCCATGGTGGCGAAATTTATTCATTCCTAAGTAGCTTACATATGAATTGCAATCCACGGATATAGCTGTGATAGAAAGGAGGCGTGATAGTAAACACCAAGTGTTCAATGAAAGTCTTTGATCTCAAATGTTTGATCGATATCACCGTGCTGTATGACAAAACAGGCTTCGTTAGTTAATAATTACTGTCTTGAAGTATGGCATGTGCTTTGCATCGTCTAAGTGCAAACTACTTCTACGGGATAGATAAGAGCCAGTGTTTGCATTCGTTATTGGAAATTATGTGCTCAAATC